CATGGCTATTTGTATGATGCATGGATAGAAGAGATTAAGGATGAGCACTAAATTTAGTCAACAGATGAATGTTCTCGAGCCCGTTTATAGGCAACCATACTCTACGTTGTCGGCCCGCCAGATATGGTCGAGCTCTTGCGACCGTGATGGGCGATGAGACACCGTCGAGAAAGAGTTTGGGATCTCATGTTCTAGCCCTACTCAATTTACAATTTTGCTATGATCTAACTTGTACATGGTTTCACTTGTAATATACATAAAAGTCAGTAAAAACAACTTTTACTCATAAAATTGCATAAAAAATTATAGTAAATAATTTATGATATGAACATATCTTGCGAGACAAATACATTAATTTTAAATTTGTGATATATTTCAGATATATATTAGTGGTCACAGCTTGTTACACTGACCCATGGTATTATTCAGATAGTAGTACACACCTTGCACACACAAGAGGCCAAAAAAAAAAACTTGCACATAAAGCGATTTATTCATCAACCCTCATCTTTCCAGCCGGCCGATCGCTGTGTCTTAAATTTGCTTGGGCGCGATGCGTCCGAGGCGGATGGCATCGACGTAATCGCGTGGGCTGTGTGACGCGAAGCCGGGGAAGATCAGGCCACCGCAACGGTATAACAGGGAGATGAGGCCCTCGCGGTAGTCGCGGCCGGCGCTGGCCCAGAGGAAGGCCCCCTTCACCAGGTCGCCCACCGCGTTGCCATACTTGGACAACACGTACCGCGGGTCGAAGTAGTTGGGGTCGGGCTCGTCGCCGGCGAGCTCCTTGCCGTCGTACCAGCCGTCGTAGTACACGCAGGTCCCGCCGTGGCTGTACTTGGCCACCGGCGCCGTGAACGGCACCCGGGGCACGATGTCGTACCGGTACACCACGCGGTCGTAGCGCGCCGCCTTGGTGGCGGTGCTTAGGAAGTCGACGAACGTGCTGTCGCCGACGCGCGGCTGCCCGTAGGTCAGCACGTCGCCCAGCCTGCCCAGGAGGTCCTTCTCCCCGTGCAGCGCCAGGAGCGCCGGGAAGATGGCGGCCAGCGCGCCGCCGAGGCTGTGCCCCGTCACGATGAGCCGCGCAGCGGGGTGCTTCTTGAGCTGCTCCCGGACCACCTCGCGGAGCTGGTAGTAGGCGAAGAACTTGCCCTTGGGGGCGGCGCCCTTGTCCTTGCGGGGGAAGGCGCGCTTGGGGTCCTTGGGGTCCTCCTCCTGCAGGCCGAGCGCCTTGAGGAAGCCGAGGTGGACGTTGCCCATGGCGCCCAAGCCCAGCCACGACAGCTCCACGTCCGTCGACCAGTCCGTGGTGTTGAACGGCTCCGTGCCCCGGAAAGCCAGCACCACCGCGCTCGCGTCCTTGGCCCTGTCCGTCATCACGAACGCCTGCGTGGTGTCCTGATGCAGGAACTCTGCATGCGTACATACAGATAGATGGGATCATCGATCCATTCTGATACATCCATTTCTCCGACAAGTATTTTCGAATGGAGAAAATATTAGATATTATAGACAGATTCTCAAAAAATAAAAAATGTAGATCGTGTTTTTGCTACTTACTGTTCCAACCGTTGTAGAACCCCACGAAATTGAACTGCAAATCATCACGACACACACAAAGTTATGAATATTCCGTTTGTATTGCACATTGCCATTTCAAAAGCGACTGAAAAACTATTATGAGATATGAGGCATAAAACATTGGAGGCATAAAACATTTAGAAATGGATGCTCCTTTGGATTTAGACATGTCTTATGTGTGTGAGTTAATATTGTGTCTATCTTAGTTACATAGAGACCGGATGTTTATTATGTTCAATATTCTATGATGCTACATTATGATTTAGTAAAGTCGCCCTTTATCGAAAAAGGGTGGGATGTAAAATCTCAAGGCAAAAAGGTTTGTCCAGACAAATTTCACACATTTGTCATCTTTTCTCCCATTGCAATGTGTGGGTGTGTATGCACGACTATTTGCTCATCTTTCTTATTACGGGATCATTATATACTTGTGTAATTACCTTCCAGACGTTGTTGACCACGTTCTCAATATATGCCTGGTTCTCATATGCGATCTTAGCCGCCATGACGGTGACCTCAGGGACGAGGTACTGCTGCTGGACGAGGAGTGCCGCCATGGTGCACCCGCCGCTCTCCAGGTCATTGGCTTCGCCAAAAACCACCGTTTCGTGCACCTGCAGCTGCCGCATGTCGCCACCGCCGGCCATCTCTAGCGTGGCTGGCTTCAGCTTCGTCCTCCCATCGATCATCCCGATTATCGTCCGGAAGTCGGGCGCCTCCCGGTCCAGCGGGATCACAAGCTTGCCTGCATTGACATTCCGTTCAGTACAATGTATATTATCCCGGTTCATATGACGTCATTCGCCATATGAACGCATAATAAATATCCTCAATTTTTTGTTTCACTATATTTTACTTGTGAATACATGTTTGTGAGTCAAATTAGATTAAATTTAAGTTAAAATAAATATTGTTTTTTACATCTTCCTCTGAGCGGCAGGGGCGGACCTACATTGAGGTGAGTGGGGGCCTATGCCCCCACTCAAACTTTGAAACTCCAGTAATATTGGCTTGTGTTTTTTGAAAAAATATGCTAAAATTCTTTGAATTTTGAAAGAGTATGCCCCACTCAAAATACTCTCTAGGTCCGCCACTGCTGAGCGGTATGTACATGCATGTTACGCCCTCATTTTGAAGTTTAACATGAGTTTAACACATAAGTAATGAAATGATCAAGGTACATTCTTAATTTTATGCACGTAAGTATTTAGTGCAAATAGTCAATACGTGTGTGTGCAACTGTGCTCGTGCGTACGTACATCTGAAGATGTTCCATATGATGCCAAGGCCAAGCATGCCGCCGTTGAGCGCCACGAAGTTGAGGAGGAACTCGAGGGCGACGCTGATCACCTTGGCCGGCCAGTATGCGGCGGCGAGGAACTTGAGGATGATCTCGGTGAGCGGGACGATGATGCCGCCCGACTCGTCGCCGACGTCGAGCGTCGTCTGGTCGCTGGCCTCGACGAAGGAGTAGCTGGTGATGGGCCGGCGCAGGAGCAGCATTGACAGGATGTCAATGAGCCGGACCTTGTCCGACCGGATGATCAGCTTCTCCCCTCCGGGCTCCGGCCATCTTGGTCTTGGGAGGACCACCAGCAGCAGCAGCAGCAGCAGCTCCGGCCACCGCCACCATGTTCACTTCAACGGCCGGCGGGAGCTATAGGCTATAGCTTCCTCCCTCCTAGCTATCTTACCTTAGCTTGGCAAGCTACGTGGTCCGTGTGACAGTGTGTGTGATAATCTCTGTGGCTCAGAGCTCAAGCCGTACGTACTATGCTACGCCGGGGAGAAAAGTGTCTTTTATAGAGGGCTCTCGCGGGAGACACAGAGCACCGGGCTGGGCCGGGCCGGGCTAGGGCCATTATTAGGCCTCTGGAAGGGGCTGGGCCCGAGAACCTTCAGCAGGCCCACCCGAGCCCACACATACATACAACCTTTCTGACTGGATGAGCATATATCCGTAAGACAACAAGCACATGTGGTGGTTGGTGTACCTTTGATCCAGCTTGTAGGTGACACTTGAAACAACATGGGATTAGCGCCACGACGAGTGGAATGAATTCCCCTGCGGGCCGCACTGTTACCTGCATATATTCTGTCTTCCTCTCCCCCGCGCATTTCACATGCACCTAGGCCTCGCCTCACAGACTTCATGGTTATTCCTCTGTACTGGTACACTGTCACTGAGAGCTGCATAAATCCTAGTTGTCGGAAAGCACGCCAGTGTGTTCCAAAAGACCGCGGTCCCCTCTTCTCTGGTGGCCTATCGAGAGGTGGAGGAAACCACCTTTCTACTTTACAATGAGAACCGTGGATTAACATTAACGTATGATTGTACATATAGTTATCTTGGACGCACCGGTGTTTTACACTCACCCATGTAATCGCACGCAAACGTATCATACCATATGAACACCCCCGAGAGACCGATCCGGTATATCTCGAGATTGACTAAGTCGGTAAACATGGCTCGCAGTTGACAGACACGCCATGCCACTGAAAGAATAGCACCAAAAAGCCTGAAATAAATCCAAAAAAAAATGCAATCACCCATGACATTGCAAAGGCATTGGACTCGGTTTCTTAAATATATATCATGACATGTTGCATGACCGAGCCCTGAGGTTTTGGCAACCGATGGAAAGATTGGATGGCTCTCATTTTAGCTTCCTCTCCATCCAAGGTCGTAGTCAATGGGTTTCCCACGGATCGGATTTGACACAAGTGTGGCTTTCGACAGCGCGGGCTTCCATTCCTATCCATCCTTGCAATGGAGCAACTTCATAAGCTGATGGACACTGTCGTGGCCGGTAGACTCCTTCAGAGTTGTGTGGTCGTCTATCATTAACTCGTGCTTTCTCTGTATGTTGATGACATCGTCCTGCTTGTCAGCTTGTCCCGATATGACATCTCCATGGTGAACCACAACATTGGTGCCCTCGAATATGCAACTGGGCAACAAACAAACTTTCCAAAAACGCAGCCATGCCAGTCAGACGCGCCACCCTTGACAACCTCACTATTCTCTAGCCTACGTGTGTGCTGATGGCCTCCTTCCCGTGCCCTTACATTAGCATGCCACTATCATTGGGATCTCTATACAAATCATGCCTTCAACCTTTTGGTGAACAAGTTCGATAATAAATTGGCTATGGAAAGCAAACCTACTATATCTGAAAATTCGCAGGGGCACGCACCTCCGCAACCGTCTACAACCGTTGATGTGCATCGTGATCCAGAAACTTATTTCCGCTGAAATTGGATGAAAAAAAGAGATGAAAACTAGGAATCATGTGAATACGACACAATACCCTTGTACTAATACTTCACATAATTGTTCCTCTACATCCCTTTTCTGTACGCTATATTCATCTTCCCCTATTGTTCTCAACCGATGCTTCTTTTTCAATCGGGTTTCTATCCACCGTTCTTGTTCACCTTCTTCCTCGGCCGATCTACTACAGTGTCATGTTGCACCATGCTTCTCTTTTCCTGTCACATGCTTTCTTCCTTTCACTTCTTTCACCATCTTCTTTCTCAATTTGTTTTACACCCATCCAACCATCTTCATCTTCATGTTCTGTCGCATTGCAAATTCATCGACTCTTTATTCCATGTCCTTATTGTGGTACGACAGATTATGCCATCTTGCACATAATCCCCGTTATGTTCTAATTTTTTAGTTACATGTACCACTGCGATTACATTCTTCCAACCACAATGATTCTTCTTCCATTTGATTTTATTCTTACTCGTAACCTATTAGATCTTGTTTTCTAAAGTTGCGCTCTACGAAACTTGCCTTTCATTCTTTTCTATCTTATTCCGCTTTGACTTTTAAGTAATGTCCTACGAAACTTACGAAACGGAAAGAATCATGCCAAGTTTCGCTTCAAACTTACCATGCTGATGGCCAGCAACTGCACACGGTTTAGTTATAGCCTTTTTGAAGTAAGAGTATAGATGCCACAAAGAGCACATGAGATGTACTTTGTCTCTTGTGGAGACTTATAATATCATGACTTCAAGTTAGTTGTGTTCTGAAGTAAAGAGGTAACATAAGCTTTGAAATATTTCGAGTAGGTTGTGAACACGGGAATAAAATGCAATCGGTCACCCATCTTTCAATCGAGCAAGTAGCGTTCGGCTTTTATTATTATATTTGTTTTCCTCAAAATGCTATGCTATTATTTTTCTCCATTTTCTCAAGAGGGCAGGCTTATATGCAACAATGGGGAACCAGGTGGTTGGAACGGGGTACTATACATCAAGAGGTAATTAATCAGCTTGGGGTGAGGGTACAATGCTACGAGCGCAACGGGGTGCTATGCATCGATATCCAACTGACTACCATGCTACGACCACAACAGGGTCTTGTGCATTGACAACCAGCTGGCTAGCGCACCACGGTTGCAATGTCCATCGACATCTAACTGATTAGGGTGGGGCTACCATGCTATGGCCGCAACGGGTTCCTATGGGTCGAGAGCCAACCAACTAGGGTGCGGTGGGTACCGCGCAGCACCAACGTGGCACTGTACATCAAAGAGGCAACCAATTAGGGTGGGGGTACCGTGCGGCAACAATAGGGTACTGTACACACAGAGAAGGATCCTCGCAATCGGCTAGGGTCTGAACTACCTACCGCGCGCGAGGTGGCGCAACAACAGGGCCTCCTCGCAACTGGTAATTACTCGTGCATATGGCTTCTCCAGCTATCATGTGTGATGCAAAACGGGTCTCCAACTGTGCCCACGGGAGGCAACGGGGTCTCTACTCATGCATACGGCTTTGTGCACCACTGTCAAGTACGCAGCTTCGCTATAGCGAGCGAGAGTCTCGCATCGATCAACCGAGTTTTCTCTAATGCGAAGTATCCAACTCGACCGACAAGTACCGCGTTCGTATACGAGGACCTCCAACACTACCACACATGATCGCAACGACCCCCGCATATGACTTCTCCAACTATCGCGCACCAACGCCAAGTACACAACAAACCATTATATAGCGGGAGTCTCGCACCGATCCAATCGACCGGGTTCTTTGTAAGGCAAAGTCTTCGACTCGAGCAGTAGCTCGTGCATGCAACGGGGGCCTCCAATTGCTTTTTTCTTAACCGGGCTAACCCCCTTTCCATTACTTAAAACGGAAATACAACCAGTCCGAGAAACAGAGATGAGTCTAAGAACAGGGAGAGGGGGAGAGCGAGTTCAACGCACTACTAGGAAACCCATGGCACCCTCCCGCCATCGAAACGGGCGCTATGGGGCGAAAACCTAGTAGCACCAAACATCTAGACCTATTACAAACGACAGTCCAAAAGTCACAAGATAGTATGACTGCAAAACAACAGAAGCCGCAGCTTAAACAGTAGCCCTCTGTCCAGGCGAACGGGGAAAAGAGACGCAGCGCGAGCATGAAGTACTTGGGGGAGAATCCGTCGAGTTCCTCCCCTATTTGTTCAGTCTCCAATTTTGACAGTCGCATCACAGACTCGCATCAGCATCATCGTCCCGTCGCGAATCATCTCCGCCCCTGCCCGAAGCTGCTTGATGTCGTCTCCCGCCTGAAGCCCTGCCCAATAGAGAAGGAAAGAAACCATCGTAAAAACAATCTCGAAAGGAGATTTGATCATCTTTTTCTCAAAAGTAGCACGGTTCCGTGCCAGCCAAATGGACCAGGTAACTGCGCCCAAGGCCACCGTATAGAAAAGTTCGTAATCGGGGATGAAAGAGTAGCACCAAACAAAAAATTGCCAGCAGTTCTTGGGACAAAGATCAGTCCCCACAGTTACTCCAATAGATCTCCAAACCACTCTGGCAACAGAACATTCAAAAAACAAGTGCTGGGAAGTTTCAATATGCTGGCAAAAGGAACACACAGGATTCCCTGGCCATTTTCGATGCCGCATCACCTGCCTAGTCAGGAAGGCATCTTGTGACAGTTGCCAAAGAAAGATTTGAATTTTGAGAGGGATCTTGGCTTTCCAAATCCACCTATAGTTGCATCCGCTAAGGGGGTTTTCAAGCCATTTATACATGGATTTGGTAGTGTATTTGCCAGATTTGTTCAGGCACCAATACACCGAGTCAGGGGTGCTTGGTAAGTTCAGATTGCGCACCTGGCCTTGAAGATTGTACCACTGGTCTGCCAGATCAGCGTTCAATCTTCTGCGGAAGAAACTAGAACAGGTTATGGAATTTAGCTTATCCAGGGTACAATCTTGATCAACACAAATATCAAATAAGCATGGGAATTGATCTTGGAAAGGAGTTAACCCATTAATAGAATCTTTCCACAACCTGGTTAGGTTGCCTGCTCCCACGTGAAGTTTCCTGCCTATCATGTACAGGTTTTTGATTTTCAACAAGTTTTTCCAACAGGGTGAATCAAAGAAACTAGGGCTAATAGTTGCAACAGTTTGGTTGCGAAGATACCTAGCCCGAACAATATCTTGCCAGATTCCTTTCTGGGTATCTAACTTCCACCACCACTTGAGC